GCAGCAAATCCTGTTACGACAATTTAAAACATGAGGCTTTCCACTTGAAAGGTGGAAAGACTTCCAGCAATAGCGGCATTACCATTGGACTCATCAAGTGCGGAAGCACGGGATCTGGTAAGCTGCAACTATTCGGTCTAATCGCTACTTGGCCCAGAGAAAGGCATCCTTGCAGCTGGAGAAAGTCGAAAATCGTTTTACCGCATGAAAAGAGTGATAAGGAAAATTTGAAAAATTACCAAAATTATTTTCTCATAACATTAGTCGTCTAGTCAACACACTTGTGCACAGAAATAAAGACGAGCTTTCTAAATACTTCCCTCCTACAGAAGCCCATTGTCAACGTCTGATACACGCTCGTCTACAATAACTGTACACCCAACATGCACGTATAAGTCGCGCTGTTATCGTTCCGTTCATATTGCTACTTCCTTCTCTCGACACTTTTCCACTTCTACATTACAACCTTCTAATCTTTTTCAAACACTCTAAATTTATACCTTTTAAAAAATTCTTCCCGTCCCTATCTTCTTTCTTCCTGCCTTCCATTCCCTCTTCTCATCTTTGAACACTGCGACCGTCATACTGACAAGGTCCAGTCGCGGTGTTGAGCTAAATCGTATATGACTTCATGGACCGAAACGTCTTAACTCTCTCGTACTTATTATGCGTTTTGTGGTGTGTAACAGCGTTACAAAACGCATATTGTCACGGGGTTGTCTATGTGTGTGTGTTTGTGTGTGTCCCACATTTTGTCCCGCACTTTCAACTCGGGAACCACAAAAGCTAGGCGGCTGAAATTTTAGCGTAGTACTCTCCGCCAACGGGTGACGCGGCAAATTTAAATTCAGCCTTCCCGTACCTGCGGGTAACTCGTACGGCACCCGCTAACGGTTGACGCGGCAAATTTAAATTCAGCCTTCGCGTACCCGCGGATAACTCGTACGGCCCCGTGAAAGTTTTTTACGGATAAATCAATATCTCAGGAACCACGGAGTCTAGGAGGCTGGAATTTTAGAGTAATGACTCCTTGCCCACGCTCAATCTTGCCCATTCAAATTCAGCCTTCCCGTACCCGCGGGTAACTTGTACGGCCTCGTGAAAGTTTTTTATGGATAAATTATTATCTCGGGAACTACGGGGTCTAGGAAGCTGAAATTTTAGGTTAATAACTCTCCGCCCACGCTCAACCTTGCCTATTCAAATTCAGCGTTCCCTCGCTGTTGAGTTCCACCTACGGCCTCGTGAGAATTTTGGTGGCTAAACTGTTAACTAGGGAATCACGGAAAGATATTCACCCTCCAAGGTTTTGCATTCAGCTTTCATGCGCTGGTTCGTGAAATTTTTAACTATTTTCCAATTTTTGAACTATTTTTGCATAGACAAAGCACGAAGCAGTGAAAATCATTAATAGGCAATCGTTCGATGGACTGAATTGCACAAAACGCATGATCGCACCGGCCAGTCTGGTGCGCGTTGCTATTTATTTTTCCCATACCAGCAATATTTCTACAACTTGCATTACATAGCTCGTTCTATTCTTGCCTTCTTTTTTAAGTTCATATTACTTTCATGCTGCAATCATGCGATAATTAGCTTACCACCTAGTTTGCTTGCTGTCACTCATATCTAACATTTTACGAAGATTATTACTGGCCGATTAGCAGAAATTCTTAATAAGCAACAGCTGAAGGAGGAAGCCGCAATTCAATGCAATTACAACACAGCAGACCATAATTTCACTCTTAACCAGCTGCTGGAGCACGCAACGCCGTATCATTTCCCTCTTTTTCTCATATTTGTTGATTACGAATGAGCCCTCGGCATTTTTGCTAAGCTGAATATGTTAGGAGTTCTTGAGATAAGGAAATCTGTGAGGACTATGTGGTAATTGTTAGGCAGCCTCCACTGTTTGAGGGCATAGCTGTAACATCGTCCCATACGAGCGGGCCGGACGGCCTTAGTTATGCGTTTTTGCTGTGCAGCGCTACAGCGCTGCTACAGCCAGCAAAAACGCATATTGTCGAGAG